CACCTGGCAAGGAGCTGCATGGCCGTTGGCTGATCTCAGTGCGGATGTGAGAGGGCGTGTTTATATCTGAAGGCGGCGACTGTCTGGGTCTGGAGAGAGGAAAGCAGTGGGGGAACACTAGAAGAGACTGAAGCTTGGTGTTAATCAACAGTCTGTCTTTCTGTCTTCTTTTACTTTCTTGCTACCGTGGTCCTTCCTGCTCACAAACTGGCAGGAAGGGACAAAGGATCGATGTGGGACCAGTTAGAGGACGCTGCTATGGAGACCTTTTCTATAAGTAACCACCTTTCTGTGTGTGCTGTTCATCCCTCCTCCTTGGGAGGGACTGGGCCTCACTTGGAGGCAGCCGGGGCTGGTGGCAGGAATGCTGGATCTGGGGTGGCGAGTCTGCTGTTTCCTTTGCTCTGGAACTTGTGAAGACTCCCTTCCTTGCTGGAATTGACTCTTTATCTTAGTTTGGCAGCCGCCTTCTTTATATGTTATATAAGCCCCTCAGAAACCCTCTCTTCCACACAGGCAAAGAGCGTTCTACTTTATGGGACCAAATGCAGTTCTGGGAAGACGCGTTCTTAGATGCTGTGATGTTGGAGAGAGAAGGAATGGGCATGGACCAGGGTCCCCAGGAAATGATAGACAGGTGCGAGGTTTATAAACCCTTGGAAAAGGCAAATTTGGCCCCTTCCCCATTAATTCTGCATCCTCCCACCTGGGGGCTGACGTGCCCTGGTCTCCCGTTCAGGTATCTGTCCCTGGGAGAACACGACCGGAAGCGCCTGGAGGACGATGAAGACCGTTTGCTGGCCACACTCTTGCACAACCTCATCTCGTACATGCTTCTGATGAAGGTAGCGTTGGTTTTGCTTAGGCCTAGCTACTGCCAATGCTGTGGACAAGGCTTATTCCTGTTGCCTGGATCCCAGTGCAGTCAGGAAGCAGTCACGGCGTCCTGCTAGGGCCCTCTTCCTCACTGAAGGTCTGAGGCCTCTCTGCAGCTCAGTTATCCTCTTCTCTGAAGCGGCCAGGCTGCTGTGTGCTGGAGAGTGATGTAAAGGGGATGATGATGGCGTGCCACTTATTTCTTTTGAATTTTCTGTGGGCTTCCTTTGCTGAATAGTTTTAGGATGCCTATCGAAATCCCCACAGGATTCAGTGGAAAAAGAATTTTTTTTAAAGTAGTAGATTCTGAAACCTTAGAAAGGATGCTCAGAATTTACTTTTCAGCACTAGTCTATCATGTAGACTTTCCCGTAGATGTAAAAAGGACTGCTCATTAGAAAAGTAATGAATAGCAGGTTCTAGTTTGACTTGGTTATATTTGGTTTTTATAGCCGTGGGAGAGAACTGTGTTCCCAAGTAAAGGAAAGGACCTGGTGGGTAGAAGAGAGTTGTTTTGAGAATGAGTTCCTGGGTTTTTCCTCCGCCTATTCTCCCGGCCTCTCTTAATGTGAAGACATGACTTGATCCAGTGGAGAGAATACTGGTCACTGTCACTCTTGGTTATTAAGGTCCTGTTTTGGTTTTCCAGGTAAATAAGAATGACATCCGGAAGAAGGTGAGGCGCCTGATGGGAAAGTCCCATATTGGACTTGTGTACAGTCAGCAAATCAATGAAGTCCTTGACCAGCTGGCCAACCTGGTGAGCACGTCTCAGTCATTCTTCAGGGTCCTCCCATCACACTAGTCAGCCCCCAGGTGTGGGCCCCCAGGCCTGATGGAGAGGCTTCCCTGTAGGTCATTTTATGGCTCAGATATTTTCAGAATTCCTAGTTCTGAACATAGGGCTTGGACTCTAAATTAGGTGTTTGCCCTTCTGTGATAGGAGTCTCTGCTCTGAAATCATCCTAGTGCAGCCTTTTTAACATCTGTATGGTCTGTGGACCCCTGTGGATCCACAAGGAGAATACTGCTTTCTTGACAATACTGAAGTGTTATTTGCTTTTTTTACCGGGTTGGTGTGCACACTAATGGTTTAGAAGCAGTAGTGGGTAAAAACCGCTGGCGCCTTAATACAGTGTAGACAGTGGCACCAAACGTGCTGGTATCGCCACCTCTGCGCTCTCTCGGTTAAAAAGACTTTGAAAAGCCAGCTTACTTGTGAGTGTCCTCGATGAAGCAGTTAAAATCATCAGTTTTCTTAAATCTGATTACTGATTATACATCTTCTTAACATTCTGTGTGGCAAAATGAGAAATACACAGAGAGCATTTCTGCCGCAAACCAAAATGCAATGATCATTTCGAGGAAAAGCAGTTTGTGATAATTTGAGTTGCACAGTGAACTGGCAGCTTTGTTTATGGGACATCATTTTCACTTGAAAGAATGACTAACCAACTATCATTGTTTGGAGTTGGGTATTCAGCAGACTTTTGTGCTCGAAGCTTCCCAGTATTTAAAGGCTTTTCTAGTGAGACTGGTGATGAAATTAATGAATGTGATTTTTTGATATTATGTTATGAAATTTGTCAACACTTGAAAGAGCTTCATAACTTGAAAAACCAGTATTTTCCAGATGCCCAATGTGTGATGTTGCAAATTCAACTAACCACTCCAAGCTTAACTCCAAGTGTAAAGCAGACAAATGGATCATAATGTAATGAAGTACAAAGTGTTCACCTATGTGTTTTCAGATCCCACATTGCAACTAAGTTTAAGAAAGTACTTGCAGTTCTAGTATAGCATCAGAGAAGAATATACATATATATATGGAAAGCCTAGTAGAATACGCCTCCCTTTTCCAGATACATATCTTTGAAGTCAGATTTTCTTTAATACACCTCTGCCAAAGCAACATGTCAGAATGGATTAAATGTAGAAGCAGATACGAGAATGCAACTATTTTTTAATAAGCCAAACATTAATCAGGTTTGCAAAAATGCAAAATAATGCTGCTCTTCACTTTTTTTTTTGTTCTGGGAGATAGAGTTATTTGAAAAACATATGTTATTTATATTACCATGTAATGGATTTATTATTGTACCCTTGTATTCAGTCGCTCAGTCGTGTCCGACTCTGCAACCCCATGGACTGTAGCTCCTTTTCCATGGGATTTCCTAGGCAAGAATACTGGAGTACGTTGCCCATTTCCTCCTCCAAGGGATCTTCCTGACCCAGGGATCAAACTGGTATCCCTTGTGTCTCCTGCATTGGCAGGCGTATTCTTTACCATTTGCGCCACCTTATTAATGATTTACTAATTCCTTTTAAATGAATTGGGTTTCCCTGGTGGCTCAGGTAAAGAATCTGCCTGCAATGTGAGAGACCCAGGTTCAATCCCTGGGGTTGGGGAAGATCCTCTGGAGAAGGGAATGCCTATCCACTCCAGTATTCTTGCCTGGAGAATTCCATGGACAGAGGAGCCTGTGCAGTCTGTGGGGGTCACGAAGAGTTAGACACGACTGCGCGACTAACACTTTTAATGAATTAATAAAAACTTAAAACTTTTTTCAGTGATAATTTCTAATATGGTAAATATCTATAAATTTAACTCACAAAAACATTAGCTCTTGGGGGTCATCAGTAACGTTAGAAGAGTCCTGAGACCAAGGTTTGTGAATACGTCCATGGTGGCCAGTGGCCAGCAGATGGCGCTTCTCTGAGGCGACCGATAGGAATTGAGTTGCTGAGTGGGGGGTTCTGGGCCCAGACTGCTCTGTGAGAGGGACGCTCAGATGTCCCTAAAGGATCTCTTTCTGCAGAATGGACGAGACCTCTCCATCCGGCCCAGTGGCAGCCGGCACATGAAGAAGCAGACATTCGTGGTACATGCAGGGACAGACACAAATGGAGATATCTTTTTCATGGAGGTAGGTGCTGCTGGTTCATGTCCAGAGGAGCATTTGGAAGTCACAAGGAACTCCTAGAACGGATGCCAAGATATTTTTCCCCACTTATCTCATTCATTTTCATAGTCCATTTATCATTCATTGTCAGTTCAGTTCAGTCGCTCAGTCATGTCTGACTTTTTGCGACCCCATGAATCGCAGCACGCCAGGCCTCCCTGTCCATCACCAACTCCCGGAGTTTACTCAAACTCATGTCCATTGAGTCGGTGATGCCATCCAACCATCTCATCCTCTGTCGTCTCCTTCTCCTCCCACCTTCAATCTTTCCCAGCATCAGGGTCTTTTCCAATGAGTCAGCTCTTTGCACCACGTGGCTAGAGTATTGGAGTTTCAGCTTCAGCATCAGTCCTTCCAATGAACACTCAGGATTGATCTCCTTTAGGATGGACTGGTTGGATCTCCTTGCAGTCCAAGGGACTCTTTTTTTTTTTTTTTTTTTTTTATACAGAAGAATTTATTTCATGGCTATAAACAAAATATCACATTTCAAATGCATTTATTTTGGATATTATGCGCTTAGCAGAAATCACTATGACCACAAAGAACACAAATCTAATTTAGTTTTTTAAACCTTAAGTTCTTAGAAGACAGACCCCAGGTGAAAAGAAAAGTAAATAAGCTTTGATATGTTTCTATTCATACTTCTGAAATTTTTGCTTTTGGGTTATTATTTTTGATTTAAGTAGAAGTTATAAGGGAAGAATTATTCATTTCACATGACACCATCTCATTAACAACTTATTATTACATGTGGAGGTAATGGTATCCAAAGAATATGAGGCTGTGAAAAAATATATGTTCATACTTTTAACTTCATGTGAAAACTAAGATAAATATAATGAATAGATACTTGCTCTTTTTTTTTTCCCAGGAAAGGGGCTAATATATTTTTATTTCACTGTAACTGTTTACTTGGCTTAAAGAATTACCTGTGCATTAGCCTTTTCCACGTGTGTTATTATTATACATATTAAAGCCATCCTTCCTCTATAATGAAAATGAAAAATAAATAGGGTAAAAGTTCTAGCTTTGTTTTTTAAATGTGTATATTTGCTTACAGTAACTTTGAATAACTCAATGGACATGAATTTGAGCAAGCTCCGAGAGAAAAAATGAATTTGAGCAAATTCATTAATATCTCTGATGAAGGACAGGGGAGTCTGGTGTGCTGCAGTCCATGGGGTTGCAGAGTCAGACACAACTCAGTGACTGAATAACAACAAACTGAATAAAAGTGACTTGAAATTATGTTAAGTATTAATTCAACTAGAGTATTATGTGGGGAAAATTCTACTAGCTGCAATATCTTGCGATGATTTTCCCAGGAGGTCCTCTTTATTATCCCAGTCCATTCACTGATAGCAGCTGGTCTCCTCTCTTGAGGCCTCCGTGTCTTTCGGCCACCCCTCCAGGAATGATGCGAGAGATATAAATGGGAGAATTTTGCTCCTTTCCTCCCATCACGTTAAAACCAAGGCCTTCATCTGTCTTTGGCAGTTCGACTACCCGAGGGTGGGAATGGCCTTCACTAGCTGCAAAAGCTGCAGCTGTAGCCTGGGAAGTAGTACTGGTTCTAGACTCTGGGCTGCCACTGATGTCTACATTCTCTTACAGTGTACACACGAGAAAACCTTTGCTGTGGCCCTGGCACGGAATTCGGGACAGCCATTAACAGTTATCGTTTCATGCATATATTGATACACCTCTCGAATAGCAGTACAAAACTCACTCTGAAGCACTTTTTTGAGGGATTGTAGTTTGTGCACTGGTACTTCTCCAGATTCCTGTAGTTTTTCCAGTAATTCAATTGCTCTGGCAACATCTCTGTCCAGAGTGAGCGGCTGGACCACTGTCAGGGTCGCCATGTCTGCCGTGGGAGCCAAGTGACGCCCGGCTGCAGTAGCAGCCGCTGCTTGTAGTGAGAAAAAGAGCCCAAGGGACTCTTGAGTCTTCTCCAGCACCACAGACATAAAGGTAGCACATCATATCTGCTGATCTGAATCTTTTTCTTTTTTTCATTAAACATATCCTGGAGATCTTCCATATCAGTACAAAAAGAATGTTCTCATTCTTTTTACAGCCGTGTGGTGTTCCACCATGTGACTAGACCATACTTTATTTTGCCAGTCAGTATATATACACCCTTGGTTTTCTCCCAGATTTTTATATTGTTAGTAGTGTGACTCTGGATGATGCTGTGCCTGCTTCATTTCATGCATGAAAGGAAGCTTTATCTAAGAATTCCCAGAAGTGGGATAGCTGGGTCAAAGGGAAAATGCATTTATAGTTTTGGTTGATATGACTCTAAAGTATCTCTTAACCTATAGTTTCTCTTCCATGTTGCTGTTTATTTTGTTGGGGAAAATGTGCCGTATGGAGCATCTTACATTTTAGATTTTTTTGCTGATTGCATCTCCTTAGTGTTGTGTAACATGTTTCTCTATCACTTGTATTTGTACAAACTAGTGTTTCAGTCTGGAGATTTGTTCAATTTCAGTTTCAGTATTTTGGCAAGAATAGGTGGTGCCATATATTTTCCTGTTGCCTCATATGATCAGCTCTCTCCTTGTGACCAGTGGGTTCACATGTGGGAATCTGACCTCTGCACTGCATTAGTTTTCTGATTTAACTTACGGTATTTTTTGCCGTGCAGAATTTTTTTTTAACTTTTTTTGTAGTTGAATTAATCAGTCATTTATCTTCTGGCTTCTGAATTTTAAGTCATAGCTAGAAAAATCCTTTCTTAATCCAGTATTATGAAGGAAGTTGGCCACGTTTTCTTCATTTCTGTGTTTTTAATTCTAAAATGGCTAAGATTCTTTCTAAGTAATTTTAGGGGCCAAGTACAGCTCCTCTGTAAAGTAGTGAAATTAGCTAACACCCTGTTGCCTTTTGGTTCAGTTGAATTTGATTTTCAGTCACAGCTTTTTGAAGAGGTATCAGACTTAGGGTGGGGTACCTGCTCTGTGGCAGAAACTTGCATGGCGAGGTGGCTGAGAAGGCTGATGTTTTCATGTCCCCTTGAAATGACAGAATTTGTGAGTGCCTGTCGGAGCTGAGGACTTTCGGACACCTGCTGCAGAGTAAACTTCTGCAGAGGGTTCCCTGACGCGTAGGACTCACTCTCACCACTGTGCACGGAGCCTCAGACGAGGGCCGTGGAGCTTGGGGTGGGTCCGTCACCTCATGGATGCTCCGCCTTGTACCACAAAGCAGGGTCACCTCGCTCACTCTGTCAGCACCTGGCTACCGTGAGGCTGTCAGGTTTAACCGTTCTCAGCACTGGCTGCTGGCTGCGTGATCAGTTGGATAACAATTTGCAAAGACTTTAAAGAATCACCTTTGTTGCCTTTTATTTTAATTACAAAAGTAAGAATATATGCTGGAAATGTTTCAAACCCTATAGAAGTCAATTAAGTAAAAAGTAAAAATTTTCCTTCACTTCCTGCCAATGCCATGTCTCAGAGGTAGCCGCTGGTAAAGAATTTGGTGTGAATCCTTTCAGATTTTTTTTTTAAGTGTATTTGTATAAATTCCATATAAATACTGAATTTTATTTCAGTGCTGATAAAAGTGATACCAGATTACAACTATTGTTCTATAATTTGGCTTTTCTCACTGAATATATCACAGATATATCCATAGTATGTCTCCATATTATAGAAATTGGTCTTTTTTAAATGGATGCTCAACTGTTAGGTTTCCTATGGATGTGCCATGGTTTATTTAACTAGTCCCTCCCACTTTTTTTTTTTTTAAAGCAAGGATTAACTGGTCATTCTTGAACATAAACCTTCACATACTCAGATGAGAATTTCTATAGGATAGATTGTTAGTGTGAAATTTCTGGATCAAACTATGTACAAGATAGATGGCTAATGAGAGCCTACTGTGTAACACAGGGAACTCAATGCTTGTGGTGATCTAAATGGGAAGGAAACCCAAGAAAGCTGGGGCTGCTCCTCCATGTGGTGCTTGGGCTTCTCATTGCAGTGGCCCCTCCTTTGTTGCAGAGCACAGGCTCTAGGCGCACGGGCTTACTTGCTCCTAGGCGTGTGCAATCTTCCCGGACCAGGGATTGAACCCATGTCCCCTGCATTGGCAGGCAGATTTTTATCCACTGTACCACCAGGGAAAGCCCTACCTGATGGTCTCAAAGGGTTATGGAAAGCGGAGTAGTGTCCTCCACCTTCCAGACGGAGGGAAGCACAGAGTCAAGCTGCGGTAGGATTCAAGTCTCTAAATTGCTACTCAGCTACTTCAGCCCTTGTCTTCCTCAGGCTTTTGAACTCCAGTAAAGTCTTATGTAGGTAGATTAAAGCTGATAGTCTTGTGTGTTCCTTATTCATTCACCCAATTTTTAGCCAGACACTATTTATAGCCAGACACTCTGCTGGGTTTGCTGGCTTTGGGGTTACAGTAGTGAATCAGGGAGATATGGTTTCTGTTGCCCTTATAGGGTTGATAAGCCATTCGGAAAGTCAGGAAATTAAACACCCAGTGTCATAAAGTATAATGAGTATTATGAGAGATTTCCAGGGGGCAGATGTCATGGGGGTACACAGCAGAAGGCCTGGGCGTTGTGGGTGATGCTCACAAGTGATCCTTGAGCTTAGACTTGAAAAAGAGTTAGGACTTAATGGCTGGAGTAGGGGAGGGAAAGAGTGTCCTGGGGTGTATGGGGCGGAATGGTGGGGTCTCATTCCTGGCCCAGGCAGCCAGAGGGACGGAAATGCCAGTTATCAGACAGGGAGCTCAGAGGGAGGAGCTGCCCGGGAGATGCAGAGTTCAGAGTTGGGCAGGATGAGTTTGAGGTGCTGCCAGTGTGACACCAGCACAGAGCGTGGTCAGGACTCGGGAAGACAAGTCTCCTTTGCAGAAGGAGGATCATCAGTATGGTCGTCATAATTATTGTTTCCTACATCACAATTGTATTATTGGTATAGTAGCTGACTCTCGGGTACTTTCTACGTGCCTGGCTTTATTCTGAGAATTTTATGCACATTAACTTACTTAATCTTCACAATAACTCCATGAAGTTGTTGCTGTCCTCATCGTATACATGAGGACATACAGACACGGATTAACTTGCTTAAGGTGACACAGCTAAGTAAGGTGATAGCCGGAATCTAAACCCAGGCAGTCAGATCTTAGACTGGTGCTCTTACCCATCGTGCTGAACTGCCTCCTCCACAGCTGAAGGCAGATGGACAGATTCATTGGCCTGCGGGAGAATGTTGAGCAAGAAAGAGGAACTTTGTGAAGGAGAACTTCGCCTTTTAATTTATATCATCCTGTACTGGATAACTTTTCTTTTTATTGCATTAAGCAGTGTCGATGTATCATTGGTGTAATTAATTTTTGAAAAGAATCTCTGCAGAACTGGAGTTGAGCCAGGGTTAGAAAATGTGTTCCTTTCCCATTTTTCCTCCTCGGTTAAGTCTGCCTCAGTCACTAAAGAGATGATCCCTAAGATTGAAAGGTAGAGGCAGGAGATGGCCTCCACGTACTTTACGTCCAGAACGTGTAAGAGGTAATCAACCCTGAGGTGAGACGTGGGCTTCCTTACTGGCCCACGAGTTCCTTTCAGTGGCTCCTGCTCTTGCCAGCAACCCTTCCGGTGGACGGCATGTCCAACCGTTCAGGGTCTGCGTCTCCCCCGAAGCTAGGCTGAGTGTGGGGGAGAACCCTGACCCGGGGGATGCTCTTAGCGCCCGGCGTGCATCCGTCCCCGGGGCGGGGAGACACCCAGGAGACCAGGGCCGCCGCCCGCCCGCCCGCAGGTGTGTGACGACTGCCTGGTGCTGCGCAGCAACATCGGAACGGTGTACGAGCGCTGGTGGTACGAGAAGCTCATCAACATGACCTACTGCCCCAAGACCAAGGTGCTGTGCTTGTGGCGCAGAAACGGCTCGGAGACCCAGCTCAACAAGTTCTACACGAAGAAGGTACCTCCCCGCCTGAGCTCCGAGTGCGGCGGGCCCGGAGGTGGGGCCGCACGTGGAGTTCCGAACGCCTCTGGCTGCGGGCGGGCCACCCGAGGCCGCCTTCGAGGCCCTGGGCTCGGGGCGGGTGGGGCGCCCGGGGTCCGGTCTGACTGGCCTCCGCGCCGCGCCCCCCCCCCCCCCCCCCCCCCCCCCCCCCCCCCCCCCCCCTTGCCGCAGTGTCGGGAGTTGTACTACTGCGTGAAGGACAGCATGGAGCGCGCCGCCGCCCGCCAGCAGAGCATCAAGCCGGGTGAGGAGGGGGCGCCCGCGGAGGGCGCGGGCCTGGGACTCGCGCCCTGCGGCAGCTGACGGCGCCCTCCCTCGCCACAGGGCCGGAGCTGGGTGGCGAGTTCCCCGTGCAGGACTTGAAGACCGGTGAGGGTGGCTTGCTGCAGGTCACCCTCGAAGGGATCAACCTCAAGTTCATGCACAACCAGGTGGGTTCCAGTGGTGGCCGGAGGCTTCCAGCCCCCGCGCTGCAGGCGTCCAGTGTCCAGGTTCCCCCCTCCGCGACCGCGAGCCAGGCCTCCGGGGCTAGTGAGAGCATCCTGGCAGCTGGACCACAGGGCGATCCGTGGGGAGGGCGCAGTGACACTGGCCGCCCCCACCCCGCGAAGCTGCGGCAGGGAGGCTGTGCAGGGGGGTGGGGACAGGGGGCCGCGGCGGGAGACTCAGCTCAGTGTGAGTGGGAGCGTCCCCCAGCCCTTGTCGCCTTCCCTTGCTCCAGGGTGTGCTTTTGCTCGTGGTTTCGCTGTGCGAGTCTAGGCCAGTTGGTCCTCTGGTGCGCGCGAAGCGTGTGTGAGAATGTGTGTAAATTCGTCTTTTCGCCCTGCTGATCGTCCTTCCCTCTCTCTTCCTTCCTCTGAGCGCCCCGCTCCTCCCTGCTCCGCAGACCCCACTCCCCCGCCCGCCTCCCACCCGGGAGCACTTCCGGATCCATCTTGCCCTCCCTGTGGTTCCACCGTAGGAGCTGACCGTTTCTCCTCTTGGTCTTCTAACTCAGCATTACGTTTTCTCTCAGTGGACACTCCTTAAGCTAATTCCTTTCTGAGGCCCGCGCATCATCCCAGGTCCGTTCCCAGTCCTGACTCTTCACACAAGTGCCTTCCCTTGCCCTCCCCGAGGCTCTGAGCCAGACCCGAGTGTGCTGTGAGCGCCTGGACTCAGGGGCTCCCTCCCCGCTTCCATTTTAGTTCTTCTTTCAGGAGCCCCTCAGGGCAGCTCGGTGTGGTGGGGAGCAGCTGCCCAGCTTCCAGGCAGGGTACGTGCAGAAGCACTTTCACTCTGGGCCACGGTCGTGCATTAAACAGTATACTCGAGACCTGACGGTCCACCCACAGAGGGTTTACTTAAGCGGTTTTCTGGACCACGGAGGCGCCAGCAGTTGTTGGGGGCCAGGCTTCAGACTGCACCTGAGGGTTGCTGCCTGCCCCGGAGCCTCACCTTCCGAAGAACGGTCTCAGTGAATGCGCCCCACCCTCACCTTGGTCTGCCCCCAGCACCCGCCCCAGGCTGACCTTGCGTCTAAGCATTACACAGTGTGTACAGGACGGTCTGTGGACTATGGCTCTGCCCCAGGAGAGAGATGGTCAGACCCTGACTCTCGTTGAGATCCTGGCCTCGGGGCCCGTCTTCTACCTCCTGACAGTCAGCTGGAGTGGAGGAAGCGGTGGCCCCCTGGCGGGGCTCAGCTGGGGGGGGGGGGGAATGCGTGGCCTCTGGAGTCAGGATGTCCTCGGATTCAGATCCCAGCTGTTATCCGCGGGCAAACCCCTTCCTGACCCTTGGCGTCCTCATCTGTGAGACGCGGGTGGCCCCACACCTGTGCGTGACGCCCCACTCCGGAGATGCAGGGACAGACAGACAGTGTGTGCAGGACTCCCAGTGGGTGCTCACAGTGGCGGCTGTCACTGCCATTACCACACACTCCGGGGAGCACCTGGATCCCGTTTGATGGAAGATGTCCCCCACCTCCCCCAGGCCAGTGTGAGGAGAGCTTTGTGCCTGTGCCAGCCCTCGGTGCCGGAGGAGGACGCATGGCGTGGTGGAGCGCTGAGGGGCCGGGGCGGGGGGCCCCGGGGCGCCCGGTCCTGCCAGCGCTGCCCCGGGCGGAGGGTGCGGGCAGGCAGCCCAGGCCGGCAGAGGGGCCTTGGGGTTGGCTTTGACCGGTAAAACTAACACCTTCCTTTCTCTCCCATGCTTTCTCCTCCGGCCAGGAGCGGAAGGTACTGCCCTTTCTGCTGTCTTCGCTTCTTGGCGCTTTTGAGCTGTGTGT